CTAATTTAGCCATTATCAACTCCAAACAGGTGGGTTTTAAGTTGAGATTTAAAGGCACCCAGTGTTTCAGCTGTTTTACATCGAGTGTGTTAGTACTGGGTCTCCTCAACTACAACTGGAACTGCTTTTATTATAATTGTAATAACGTTAATGGAAACATGTTTAATGACAATTCAGATTAATGTGATTATTACTCCATTCCGTAGTATACAAAGCTAATTTCTTGTCATATCAACACGACTCTTGTAAATGTTTAACAGGCGCTGGTGTTACAATCAACATCACAACTAAAAAATGATCAAATTAGTTTGTAACATTAACTTATTATAATTTGGTCTATTGTTCAGTGGTTTACCACCAGCCTTGACCAGTAAATAAATATTGTAAAAAAAACAAAAACAAAAGGATTTACAGAAATTTGCTTGCTTTTGTTTGATGAAAGCCATGGCTACTATTATCAATATTTAAAGGAAAGACTTAAAATTGTATTTATAAATAGCATCTGGCCTTTTTTGTTGGTGTTGCTCCTCTCAGTTCCCCCTAACATTTCTGGAGAAAGCACAACTCAGCATCTGTCAGTGCTGCAGAAGGGTCAGGTAACTCTGGAGTGCAAGTCTGATGCTGTTCCACCTCCAACTTTGACCTGGCTCAAGGATGGCACACCACTCCAGGTCAGTAGCGTAAACCATTACTAGAATAGAACATAATTCTTCTTGGTTAGTTTGTACCTTAATAGAGAAGCACAGTGTATCAGCATACCCATAAAAATGTGTAATATTAATACAAGTGAAATAGAAACTATGTATTGATGTCAAATATACAATGCATACTCTGTCTTACATTTGTATTCATGTCTTTCACACGTGTAGAAATCACCACGGCTTCGTATTCTGTCCAGTGGACGCTATTTACAAATCAACATGGCGGCTCTCTCGGACAGAGCTCAGTACACCTGTGTGGCGAGTAACATCGCGGGCAAGACCACTCGACTGTTTAACCTGACTGTTAACGGTAAATAAAGTCAATAGTTTGAGACATTAAGAAGTAAACAAAACAAAATCGCAATAAAATTGGACATTTTGTCTTATGAAAAGTCAAACTATTTTAGTAATATGAACATCTATCCTATCAGTACCTCCAACTATCAAGGACGGCTCTCAGATGGTGGTGGGACACATCAGCAAGCCAGCGACTCTTGAATGTGTGGTTAGCGGAGTGCCACCGCCTCGAGTCACCTGGAGGAAAAATGGAGCAATAATAGCAGAAAATAACCCCAGGTACAACATGTTCTCCTAAACCGTCTTCTTGTATTACATTAAAATATTACAATATTTTAATGTCCATATCAATGTCTAATTTGTTAATATTTATCCAGATATACATTTGCAGTGGATGGATCTTTACACATCCCCTCAGCTCAGGTGACAGATACCGGGCGCTACCTGTGCATGGCAACAAATCCGGCTGGTACACAGCGCAAGAGAGTTGATCTTCAGGTTTATGGTGAGCAATAGTTATGCATGAACAAAGCAAAGTTAAGCAGAGCTGCAGTCACTACTATTTCTTTCCTCTCATCTTGTAGTGCCTCCTTCTATCGCAAGCAGTCGCACCAATGTGACGGTGATTGTCAACGTTCAGACCACCTTACCCTGTGAGGCCACCGGCATTCCCAAACCCGCCGTCAGCTGGCTGAAGAATGGTCGACCCATCAGTACTGAGCAGAATCAGAACATGTACAGGTCCATTCAGGTTTCCTACCACTCTTTACTCATTCATAAAACATAAATCCTTTTTAAACCACGTATCTCTTTGCATGTTGTGTGAAAGGTTGTTTTGGGATTTACTGTTCTTTGCAAAAGTATTCATACCTCTTGAACTTTTTCACATTTTGTCAGAATATGACTACAAGCTTTGGTGGATTCGTTGTGCACATTGCAACACAGAATAACGTGTAGCTTTGAGGTAAAATTGTACATTGTTTTACATATTTTGTAAATAAAATTGTAGTGTGTGTTTCAGGCATACACTACAAGGGAGTAGTACTCTGATATTTCTAAATAAAAACAAATTAAAGCAACCAACTGCACCTGGAAGGCTTCCAATTTATAAACAGAGTCTGCTTGCATGTACTTTAAAGCAGGATTAGGTTAGCAATAAAAGAACCACAAGATTTGTAAATTTCAAAATATGCTGTTCATTGAATCTTATGAAAAAGGAATATAGTGTTTTACAAACAAAACATAATCATCCACCAAAACTTACAGGACATCATAAAGAATGTATTAATCAGACAAGTATCCAAGCGGCTCATAAAGTTTGGAAAAGCTCCAAAGATGCACAGCTCAGGTTGAACAACAGCATGACAGCTTTTGATTGTGCACTTAACAAACCTGGCCTTAATGGAAGAGTGGCAGAGATGTTTATGGTCAAGATGTCCAAAGTAAAGTTTATGCACCAGGGAACACTGCAAACATGTAGAAGAAGCTGCTCTGGTCTGATGAAATTTACAAATAGTACCACATCTGTTGCAGGCTGCAAGTCCTAAACCTGGCACAGCGCTTTGCCTTCCAGCTGGAGACAAAGGCTTAAAACACACTCTGAGCTACAATGGAATAATTTAGGTTAAATCATTTTTATGTGTACTGTTGGCCGAGTCAAATTCCAGACCTGAAGCTACTTTCCAACCAACGCGACTGATCTCGAGCTCTTTTGCAGGAAAGAGTGTTCAGAAATGTCCTCTGTTAGATGTGAAAAGGTGGAACAGTCATACCCCAAGAGGCTTTTGATTTTTATTTGTAAAAAAAAAAAAAAAAGAAAGAAAGAAAAATATGGATCCTTTTGCTTGTACTTCAACATTATGTTCCAAATTCTAGCTCTTTCACATAAAATCCTAATAAAATAAATGTGGCAAAGTTAAGAGTGTGTGAATATTTTTACTTTAGCATAGCTCCTTTTTGTAGTTTGTTTTCAAAGTAGTTATACATTTATGGTAAATGGCCTGTATTGTATAGCTCTGTATTAAGTCCAGACGACCCCAAAGCACTTTGCACTACATTCAGTCACATGCGGGGATTTATTATTTACAGATTTATTATTTACAGCAGGTTGTAGTTAATTACAACTTCTTACCATGCATTTTCTTAAAAATATTTATTTCTCCTAATAACTTTTTAGATTGCTATCATCAGGCTCCTTGGTGATTATAGCTCCTACAGTGGAGGACACTGCAGAGTACAAATGTGTGGTTTCTAATGAAGCTGGAGAGGAATCCAGATTAATTACTCTTTCAGTTATTGGTGAGAAAAACAATTGTTTAGATTTCATCATTCTTGTCATTATTTTTATTGAGTTTTGTAGCTCAAGATGTTTTTTAATTCCACAAAAAAATTTGTTGTCCTAGTTCCTCCATCTATAGCAGATGAACCCACTGATATAGTCGTGACAAGACTGTCCCCGGTGGTTATTGCTTGTACTGCAACTGGGGTGCCTGCACCTGCAATCCACTGGAGCAAAGGCGGCATGAAGCTTCTCAATAAAGGGGAAGGATACAACATTTTGCCAACAGGTTAAACTTTTATTCATGCAAAACATATTCTATAATGTTAGCTAAATATTTCAATATTAGTCCACTAAATTATTTATGCTCTTTGTCATTTTAAAAGCTTGTTGGGTATGATTCATCTGAACTTTTGTAACTGATGTGAAGCATATCGGTTTGTTTGTGTCCCTCAGGTCAAGTCCAGATCCCTGCTGCTCAGCTCAGTCACGCTGGACGCTACACCTGCATGGCCAAAAACATCGCTGGCTCCACACACAGACATGTGCAGCTAACAGTGCAGGGTATGCAGACTATTACGAGCTTTATAAGTACTTTATTAATGAAGTTAATACACACTACAAGTACAAATTCTTCAGCCAAATAAGTCATAAGCTGTTGGATTTTTTTTGAAAGAAATCAACATTATGCGTTCATGAGCTACATTTTTAAGTGGCTCCATGAAGCCTATCGATTTATTGAGAAGTCAAACAACACTGCAAATATAATATTATAATATATTTATCTAGATAAATATATTATAACAACTATAATATTAATATTATAGTTGTGCAAATTCGTTTGCACAACTTTTTCAGAAACCTTATTTTGAAGGAGAAAACTCTGAAATGTATAATTAAATGCCAAAGTGTTTTATTGCTACCCTATTATTATTATTATTATTATTATTATTATTATTATTATTATTATTATTGTTTCTGATTTATTTCTAACTGATTTCTAAGTTAAGTTGGACGCAAGGCAGTCATAATTACACCTAAAATATAAACTCTAAAACTACGAAGCACTTTTACTGTAGAGTTTGAAAGATGATGAGTAGCACCGTTGTCTTTTCTCCGTTCGTCTCTTCAGAACTGCCGGTGATCCAGTCCCATCCTGCCACACTGGATGTGATCTACAACAGCACCGTTACTTTGCCCTGCAGAGCCACAGGCTCACCCAGACCCTCCATCACCTGGCAGAAGGAGGGCATCAACATACCCGCCACTGGTAACCACTTCTTCTGTAGTCCCATGCAAAAATATTAATACCCCTGGAGATATTTCCACATTTTGTTGCAGTACTACCATAAACTATAATGTTTTTATTGAGAAGTTGTATACGTTTTCATCCTTTCTTTCTGTTTTTCTGTCATTTTTCATGACAATACTCAATGATGCCCTGATTACTGGACTGCACAACTAATAACTGATCAGATTCATCAGTCATCAGATTCTCCCATCTGAGCTGTCAATCCCTGCAGCTCCTCCAAAGTTCCCATGGCTCACCTGTCCTCTTCTTTAATTAAAGCTCTCCCTGGCTGGACTCTAAGTTTTCACTAGGCAGACATTTATTGGCAATTTTGCAATTGTGAAACACAGTCTCCTTTATTTGATGATGGACTGAACTGTTTTCCATGACAGGTTTAAAGCTCGCAATATAGTTCTGCTTTAAACTTCTCTGTAATTTTATCCCCTGACCTTACTGGTGTGTTCCTCTCTCTTTTACTCACTATTGTTCTCTGGCAAACCTTTTGAGACCTTCGCAGAACACCTGGATTTATTATGACAATAAGTTACACACAAGTTGATGTTGCTTCCCAAACAGGAATTTGATTTTATTCACGAGTATTGGAGTACACTGAATGCAAATGCCTGGCAGATTTTCTTTTGTCAAAACCTGCATTTTCTCCTCTACTCCACATTAAGCACAGCCATAAATCTCTTGTTTTGCTTTAGGTGGAGGTTACACAATACTTCCTGATGGAAGTCTCCAGATCTCCAAGGCGTCTCTCGCAGACTCTGGGACCTTCATTTGTGTAGCACAAAACCCTGCAGGCACTGCACTGGGCAAGACCAAAGTCAGAGTGCAAGGTGGGTGATGTCGATTAAATCAGCTAATTTTCACTTTTCTCACACAAATCTCTAGCAGACTTACTCTATATTTGAACACGTTATATCTTTAATCAATCAAGACACTGTTATACCATTAGTTTTCTGATCACACTTTCTAATGTCTGAGTAAATGAACTTTCTGTTTGCAGTTACTCCAGTGATCCGTTCAGAGACTCAGGAGTTACTTGCACTTTTGGACTCCTCTGTGACTCTTCATTGCGAAGCTGCAGGATCGCCTCCGCCCTCCATCACATGGCACAAAGACGGGCAGCTGCTGAGTGACTCCGGACACCAGCGGCTGCTCAGCTCAGGATCCCTCCAGATCACCTTCGTTCAGCAGAGCGATGCTGGAAGATACACCTGCACTGCTGCCAATCCTGCCGGCACTGACAGCTTGGATTTGACACTTACTGTACAGAGTAAGTTGGAAACTTAAAGTTATTATTCAGAGATAAAAAAAACAACTTTGTGGTGCTTTTATGTTTTAGATCTGATTCCTAGCTGGATTTTTAGAGAAAATAGTAATGTCATGTAGAGATCCGATGAAAAATCATTGATGTTATTTATTTTGATTGGCATTAACAATCGAATGGCTGGTCGGGAAATCAAAAATCCCAATTTCTTTCTAATCAATGAATGCACCATAAGAGCTTTCACATCCAACTAGATAACTTACTGATAACCTAATGAGATACAAGCTCTCATAACTATGCACATTGTATTCAAGTTATTTGTATTTCTGGACAACGAAATTAAGTTTGTGGAAGAAAAAATAGAAATTGGCTGTTTGACCTAACAGTAACGTGAGTTGGGTTGCCATGTGGTACTGAGGCAGATTTCTGCATATCACATAATCTCCCGATTAAAATCTTCTGTGGTAAATTTAGCTGTTTAAGCAGCATTCAAAATCCACCAATCTGACCTAAATGGTAGGGTGGTGAAATGAAGGCCTTCCTTAAAAGTTTTACAGAGTTGCTGAAGGACTCTTGGACTTTTGTCATCAATGGTGTTTAAAAAGAAGGTAGTAGAAGCCCATACAGTATACTTTCTATGACATGCTTGGCTGACTTCCAGAACTGGCAGATTAAAACTTTATAGATCAGTCAGAAAACTGGGGTATCAGTTCATCTCCACTCAATATTATTATAGGGATGTCCAAAGAAATTCCAAAATTGTAAATCAATTTATTTACTGTTATATACTGAAGGTTCTGACACTTTTGGAAGGAAATACATTCCTGTCCTTTATTATTATTATTATTATTATTATTATTTATTTTTTTATTTATTTTATTTTTTTATGTTATAGTTCCTCCTTCTATCAGTGGTGGAAAACAGGAGGTGGTTGTTGTGGAAAAAAGTCAGGCTCAGCTGATGTGTGTGGCGGAGGGCATCCCACAACCCGAACTGTCCTGGAAAAAAGACGGGAATCCTCTCAGCGAAAGCCGAGGGGAGTTCACCATCCTGCCATCCGGGGAGCTGATTATTGACAGCACGCAGGTATGAAAACACACAGACCAGGCTTAACTGGAAATGTTTGTGTTTCTACTCATTTCTTCACACAAGTTCTTGTTCATTTTTGTGGGTTAACAAGAATGTTGTGGTTTTTTTTTGTTGGTTTTTTTTAATAATAATATACCAGCCTGAAGATGCCGGCAGTTATACTTGTGTCGCAATGAATTCAGTCGGGGAGGACAGCAGGACGGTGACGCTGTCGGTTCATTCTCACCCCTCCTTCACCAAACTGCTCACAGATGTTTCTCTCAACAAAGGAGAGCGACTCGTGCTGACCTGTGGTGTCAGTGGAATCCCAACACCCACCATTAAATGGATCATGAACAACAAAAATATCCCAGGTACGATTTATTACAAAATTGGTTGGTATTGTCATTCTTTTAGATGTTTCTTTGTAACACCTTTAAATGTGTTTTTTTTTTTGTGCTTGTCCCACTGCTTTAGTCCATTATAATCATGTGAATGGTCACAGTGAGCTTGTGATAGAGAGAGTAAGTAAAGAAGACACTGGTACCTACACATGTGTAGCTGAAAACACAGTGGGGACTATCAAGTCCCTGGGATTCGTCTATGTTAAAGGTAAACCAAACTCTTATGAAACATTCATAAAGGGATTGTTCTGAGTTCTGTTAAAGGTTGTAAGTAAAGAATCCAGATTAGGAGCTTGTGGAGGCTGAAGTTAAAATCCAGTTTTGGGGTAATCCAAAAACAACAACATTGCAACCCAAGGAGACATTTTCGCCCCAACATGTGTGTGAAGCAACAATACCTTCTAGATTCTTTGAAAAAGATAGTTTAGTTTTATAGTTAAAGAAAACTTATTTTGATACTAGGCTTAATTTTTACTACCAAGAAAAATAGCACACTTCTACAATGGGAGAATTAATAGATTTTTATGAATGGATCATTTAATAGTTATGGAAAATGGTGAAAAAATCATATTTGTGGTCTAATCACAATGACAAATATTGATAAAAATTTATGTATTCCCTTTAACAGTCGTGTCTATTTTTATATTGCATGAAGCACACATTAACTCTCCTAAAATGTGCGTCTTTTAGTTTTATCGTCTAATAAATTCTAGCAAATGTATCTGAATGTATTCTCCAGAGCCTCCAATAATCGATGGGGACCTTCACGCCAGCCAAATTGAACCTCTTGGTGGTAATGCTGTTCTGAACTGTGAGGTTCGAGGCGACCCGCTGCCAACTATCCAGTGGAGCAAAAATGGCATAAACATCCAGATCAACAACCGAATCCGTCAGCTGGATAACGGCTCCCTGGCCATCTACGGCACAGTGGTAGGAAATGACACGTGTAAAAAATTTAGCTTTGCAAAACTTCTTTGCATTTTTCTAATTTAAAAGGACATATATTAATCTGTTTTATTGTAATGTACAAAATAGATCAAAATCTGACTGAAAGGGATACGTGGTTTATCAACTTTTCCTTTTTGTATAAAAAAAGTTTTGCACGCATTTGCATTCAGATCCCCTAAATAAAATCCAAGACAACCAAATGCCTTCATATGTAATCTAGTCAGTTTTTAGAGTCCAGAATGATGCAGCTGGTCAGAGATTCATTATTGAACAAAATGCATCATTAATACCAAGGAAGAGAATCTTTAAGGAGGGTTAGGTTGCAAAACAATATCCCAAGTTGTAAGAGCTCCTGGAACACTGCTGACTGATCATATTTCAAAAATTAGAAAATGGAAAATGTGTGGCCTAACTGAGAAACAACAAACATGCTTACTTCCAGATGTGCACACTTAATTGAGTCAATTTTCTTAACTGCTTTTTTTTCTGTTTGTAATTTTGCAGTAAAAGATGGCCACACAAACTCTTGAGTAGGGAGCTGACTAAAAATGCATGGCACATTTTTCAGACTTTTATTGGTAAAAAATGTGAAAAAAATGTTTTAGATTTTGCACTACTTTGTGTTGTATTTTCACTTAAGAATACAACACATTGGCGTTTATTGTTGTAGCATGAAAAGATGCATTTGATGCATCTTTAAAATGTATTTGACAGAGTGAAGACGCGGGCAGCTACATGTGTGTAGCAACAAATGATGCTGGGGTTGTGGAAAGAAGCGTCACCCTTACACTTCAGAGTAAGCTTTTGGCTTTTTCACTCCAGTTTAGCTGTAAAAACATTTAATTTGTGAAGAAAAAGAAGAGTTACTGGTAGAGTTAATCTAACAGACGTGTCCTCTCCAATCAGGAGCACCAGTTATAACTTTGGAGCCAGTCGGAACAGTTGTGGATGCAGGTACCACTGTGGTTCTTAGCTGTAAAGCAGAGGGTGAGCCAGGACCCACGATAGAGTGGACCCAACATGCACGCCCCCTGCTGGCAAACGACCGCTTCTCTACCCTGTCGAATGGCTCCCTCCGGATCACCAGTGCCCAAAAGGAGGACACGTCTGAATACGAATGCGTGGCCAGGAACTTACTCGGATCAGTGGTGGTCAGTGTCGCTCTCACTGTCCGCGGTAAGATGACGATTATTATTCCACTTATTTATACTTGGTGAAAACGTTTAAATACTATACGATTATGAAAAACTGTTAACTTTAGTTTCTTTAGTTTCTGAGTTTGTAAATCAGAAAATTACAAATGAATGTGTGCATGTGATTTATTTTGCAGTTCATGGTGGATATTCTGAGTGGACTGAGTGGGGCATCTGCAGTGTGTCCTGTGGTGCCGGTACCCAGAAAAGAGTCAGGCGGTGTAACAATCCGTTACCCGCTAACGGAGGCCGCCACTGTGCAGGATCAGACGCAGAAACACGCAGCTGTCAGGGGAAACCATGTCCAGGTGCTTTATTAATAATATTTGAAAAATGCTCTGGTCTGTGTGCAAATACAAATTCTAAAACCAAACTTTTGTTGTTTGCAAAGTGGATGGCAACTGGTCTCAGTGGTCTCCCTGGGAGGAATGTTCACAAACCTGTGGCCAGGGCAACAAAACGAGGGTCCGGAGCTGCAGTAACCCACCAGCTCAGCACGGGGGCAGGCCATGTGTGGGGAAGGCAGTGGAAGCTATAATGTGCAGTATCAGACCATGTCCAGGTTAGAAGGCTTACAGTTAAAATATCTAAACTAGATGAGTTTATATCTTAGAGAAACACTTGCAACTCAGCATAATTTGTTTTGCGTTCTTAGTGACGGGCAACTGGGGTTCTTGGCTGTCATGGAGCCCCTGCAGTGAGACCTGTGGTAAGGGCGTACAATCCAGGATCCGACTGTGCAACAACCCTCCTCCAGCATTCGACGGCCCACAGTGTGACGGCACAGACACCCAATCACAAGTCTGCAAGGAGAAACCCTGTCCTGGTAAGAGGCTGTTGGAGTAAAGACATTGATTAAAGTAAACTCAGACCTTCCCTACAAAAACGCAAAATCTTACTAAGTATTTTTGGTCTAGTTTCTAATGCATATATCTTACATTTAAAATAAGACAAAACTGACTTACAAGTAACTTTTCAGCAAGATATAGGGACTTGTTTTAAGTAAGTAATTCCTTATTATTGTTTTGTTTTTTTTAAGTCCTTGTTCCACTGATAGATTATTTTACCCATACTCACATTTTTAAAACTTATTGGAGTTGTACATAAGTCTTCAAAAATGTAATATTCTGTATATGTACCATGACTGTTGATGGAAAGTGGTTGTACAGTCATTACAGCCACTATAAATAATCTGAACCTCTAATATTTCTGTTTTTGTGCTCTCCAGTGGATGGAAAGTGGTCATCATGGATGAGTTGGGGGCCCTGCAGTGTTTCTTGTGGCGGTGGGAGCAGACAGCGGGCACGCCTCTGTGCAAGCCCCGCCCCTCAGCATGGTGGCAGAAAGTGTGAGGGAAATGACGTGCACACTGATTTCTGCAATAGCGACCGCTGTCCGAGTGAGTTTTGAATGATAAAAATAAAGCACTTGTAAAGAAAACAGATTTTTCGCTCTGCCTTATTTCTCTATTTTCACTGTTTGTCAGTCAATGGTAACTGGGGACAGTGGAGTAGCTGGGGCAGCTGCAGCAAGACATGCAACGGAGGTCAGATGAGGCGCTACAGGACCTGTGACAACCCTCGACCTTCTCATGGTGGGAGAGCTTGTGCAGGAGCCGATTCACAGATGCAGAAATGTAGCACTGCAGACTGTCCTGGTGAGTCAGTACCACACCGTCTTAGTCTTGGTTTCATGTATTAACAATTACTTGACTGCTATAAAATCCTCTGTTTTTGTGATGTATTGCAGTGGATGGTAACTGGAGCTTATGGCAGACCTGGGGAGGATGCTCCTCTTCCTGCGGCGGAGGAGAAAGGACACGTGTCCGACTTTGTAATAACCCGCCTCCCAGTAATGGTGGCCGGCTTTGTCCAGGTGACCCCACTCAGCTATCAAGGTGCAACAATCAGGCATGCCCAGGTAATGACATGATCTAAAATTTGCATATGTGATAATATTTATCTCTGTAAAATATGGATGTTAAGTTGCAAATAGGTTGTCACATACTTGTTATGTATGTGTTGTCTGGCCATTAATTGTGATTGATTTGTTGAAGTTCCTTGTGTTTCTGTATTCACAGTCATAAACATTTTCTCTGTTTGTCAGGTGGGCCTCATAAAACTCGAGGAAGCATCATAGGAAACATTAATGACATTGAGTTTGGCATCGCCTTCCTAAATGCCACAATCACTGACAGCAACTCGGGCAGCAAAACCATCAAAGCCACTATTTCAAATGTACCAAGAACTTTAGGTCAGCCTTGAATACACAACTTTATTTGTATATTTTCACTCAACGGTACATAGTTCCATTAAACTTTGATTGTAAAACTGAATGTATAACATTTAACTGTAAGGTCCTGCAATGAGGAAGCTCATCTCCATCCTGAACCCCATCTACTGGACCACTGCACAGGAAATAGGAGAGGCTGTTAACGGTTACACCTTGACAGGCGGTGTCTTCAGGCGAGAGACACAGGTGGAGTTTGCTACAGGTAGGTTTTGGTCATGGTCAAATAAACACACACTAAAAATAAATTTAATTGGGTGACTGAAGTTTAGTTCAACTGGATTCTGCTAGGTGAAATTCTGAGGATGACCCACGTTGCTCGAGGCCTGGACTCTGATGGAGCTTTGCTTCTGGACATTGTAGTTAGCGGCCATATTCTGCAGCTGCCTTCACATGCTGACATAAACATCAAGGCAAGTGGTATTCAAGGTTTGAGGACAACTGTTTTAAGGAGAAAATTATGAAGAAAAATTTGTTTGCAAAAATTCTGAAAGAGCTTTTTTGTGTTTTTAAATAAATCTGCCTCCTCCTTTACATTGCAGGAACAACTTTAAAATGAGAAACTGAGTTTATGTGCTCTTGCAGCTATTAGGAGAATAGTTATAATCTTAAACTGGTGGTTGTTGAAAATTACCTTATTGAGCATAACATCAATTTACTTATCAGCTTTGGTAGCTCGTTAACAAAATTCAGTGTACATTTTTTTTCATGTCTGATATGAAAGTTTTTTTCATTAATTAATTCAAAACTCCAATTTTGTTGATGTCAATACAGTTTAAAACATTGTTTGTGTTTTTCAGCTGCAGTTTTTTAGCAAAGGACGAAGAAGATGAATTTTACCACTGAGATGAAATACATTTTGTCATATAAAAACTCTGTTTTGTTGCTCTTAAAGTATTCTACCTGTCACTGTCGTTTTCCACTAAACCTAAAATCCTTTTTTGTCTTGCATTTGCTATTTTTCTGCTATTTTTCTTGCATTGCATTGACATCTTAAACAAAACGAGGAGAGTAAAGTGTGTCTTACATGTGATGAAAATCTAAATATCGGAGATGATTTTGAAAGCATTAATGAATATTTTTTGGTGAACTGCTGCATACATAACGCTGTGTATTTGTTTAGGACTACACAGAGGATTACATTCAGACCGGTCCCGGTCAGCTGTACGCTCTGTCCACCCGCATGTTCACCGTCGACAAGGAAAGTGTGCCCTACTCCTGGAACCACACCATCTCCTATGATCGTACTAAAGGAAAGATGCCCTTCCTGGTAGAAACGCTCCATGCCACGGCCATCAGCGCTCTCTACCGCCCCCTGGAGGAAGTGTTGGAATACAGCATCCAAGCCAGTATAACCAAAGGTGGTTATGAGCAAAGCAAGGTCCTTTGAAGATACACATTGCAGTCTGCTTTCAGGTTAAACTTGAAAAAGCCAGACGGCCACTGTGGTAGTTGCTTTGAATGCACTTTAAACGTCCGTCCAATTACTGAGTTATAATGTTTTAATCATGTGATGTAATAGACCTAAGTTTGATTGCAGCTATTTCAAGAAGGAAGACATATGGGAGTTTCCTAACTTATTCCTTACCAGAAATTGAATTTTTTGTTTTGTTACATTTTGCAGAACATTTTTGAAGCTGTCATTTGTATTACTTATTACTTATATTTAATACCATATACACAAATAAGTTACACATAGGTTTTCATAGGTGTTTATTATATTTTTATCTACCAGTAATTGTAGATGGTCTACTTCTTCCAATATTAACTTTTGTTAAACTCTGATTTAAAAAATCTCCAATTAACTTTACTTTCAGTTCTGCCTAAGTTTAAAATTATATTTAACTTTTACAGATTACATAAATCACAAATACAGTAGCAATGTTCTGTGGTACTTAATATTGTGCCGACTTCTTGAAATGTGTTTTTAAGTGGATAAAAATATTAATTCAAAGGAATTTCATCAAGACCTCTGGCTTACTTCAGGTTTGGGTTTTATAGTGGTTTCATACTGGTCTTTTTCCAGGTGATCGCAGCAACCAGTGTCCTCATGGCTTCACTCTGGTGTCTGCTGGGCCGTACTGTGCAGGTGAAGTCTATTCCACCACATGCCAAAACAAAACATCAATACCAGCTGTCACTAATGTCACTTTAAATATGCCTATTTGATTGTTGGAGTTTATTTCTGTGTTCTTTGTGGTGCAGATGAAAATGAGTGTGACGTTGGGAACCCCTGTTCTCATACCTGCCACAACACCATGGGAACCTACTACTGCTCTTGTCCGCATGGCCTCACCATATCAGCTGATGGCAAAACCTGCCAAGGTATGAAATGTGCAGCCAGGCTTTGCATTGATTCTGGGAGTTAACTGTCATCCTCACAACCTACTATGCTCCTGATTTGCTCTTTGTCTGTGTTTTAGACATTGACGAGTGCTCCCTTGGTGGAAACATGTGCCATGGCGGACAAGACTGTGAAAACACCATTGGTTCCTATAGATGTGTCATGCGCTGCGGCCGTGGCTTCAGGAGAACGGCTGATGGGCTCAGCTGCACCGGTACAGCAACAGATGCAGATAATTATTTCCTGGCTGAATGTGTGATCTGTCTTTATTAGAACTCACTGTATAATCCTCAGATGTGGACGAGTGCTTGGAGTCCCAGCCGTGTCATCAGCAGTGTATGAACACCATAGGAAGTTATCGTTGTGCCTGTGAACCGGGCTTTCAGCTCAGGAACAGACGGTGCATCGGTGAGTCAAAATGCACTTAGAGATTACTCAGAGTAGTTAAAAAACATGCAATGAAGTTAGTTGCAGTTTTCACATACTCTAGTTTAAAGTTTACAATCCACATAGAGTCTATTAATGAATCTATTAATAACATCTTAACAACATGTGTGATAACAGGACATATAAAAAATTGCAGGTCACTACTGAAGGTTTTTTAATTTTCTGCACTTCAAATAATAGATTTTAAAATTTCATATTGTATGGCCTTGAACATGAACGTATTCAAGAGTTGCCTTTAAATCTGAACTAAATGTTTACTGTACCCTACCAATGAAAGCCAAAGATTATGTTGCCAAACCATTTTTCATCATCTTAGTTATTGGTGTATTTTCAATTTGCGCCTTATATTTTCCTTTTTATGTGATGTCTAAAGTCTTCCCTTATTTCTTTAATTTATTTCTTGTTTTTCATATATTTCTTGGCTGTTAATGTATTTTCCTGTAATGTACTTTCAACTATGTTGTGCAGGACCGGTGCAATAAAAGTAAACTTGTGTTGTCTTGGAGTATTTTAATGAGTAATAAAGCAGTTGTTTATCTTTTTTATGGGGAAAAAAATATATATTTTTAATGTCTAAGCCATTTTTTTTTTGTCTTATGTTGTCTCAGACATAAACGAGTGCAGGCAGAGGGTTTGCCGTTTGGATCAACAGTGTAAAAACACGCGAGGTGGTTACACCTGCATCGATCTGTGTCCGAGTGGAATGACCAAAAGTGGGAACGGCTCATGTGTGGGTGAGTGACTGGCAGCTCAGGACAGACGGCATCAGCTAAAGGGGAAACATGAATAAGCACACAGAGATGATGCCTTCTTTGTCTCTGGCTGTTAGACATCGACGAGTGCAGAGATGGGACGCATCAGTGCAGATTCAACCAGATCTGTGAGAACACCAGAGGCAGCTACCACTGTACGTGTCCACGTGGTTTCAGATCTCAGGGAGTGGGACGCCCATGTGTTGGTACGTAAAAATCTTGTGTTGTCTTCCCAGCTTAAGAAATAAAGAAAATTTATACAATTAAAGCATATAGAAATATAAGAAAGGTAAACCTGCAACGTAATGCCGAGCTATTTTAACTGGATATTTGTCAGGTTTGCTCATTTCCTGCTCTTTGCTAAAGGTCCTGTGCTTCTGCCTGCAATTTTTTATAAGTTGGTCTTTTCATTTAAATTAAAAATAAAATTTTAAAAATCATCTTACGCCATACCCATCCGCTGCATGCATATGTGACCAGATGCTGCTATGAAAACTGCTGACTGAGTCTTCACAAAAAGCAACTGCTTTGCTTTGCAGAACAACATTGCATATTATCAGTTCATTTTAAGGAGGAAAAGCTGCTATGTTTTCTTGATGACTTTGCTTGTAAGTGGAAGTATTTTTCAGCGTTTTTGTATTTATTTTGCTTTTGTTTTGAACTGCAGTTGTTTTCATTTGCTTTATTTTTTGGCTCCTTTTTAAACTTCCTCAACACATGTTTCTCATCTTTCCTCACAGTACTTTTAGGATGCTTTCCTAACCCTCCTCTCCACATGTCAGTCATCTGTATGAAAAGCTGTGAATGGCTAAAGCACAAAAATGCCCAGGATGGAGCATCAGAAGGAGATTTATTTTATCTTTAATGTTGATTTATCTGTAAGTGTAACTCTTAGCCCTTGTTTTGCTCATGTCACTTAATTATACAGCCAGGTCTTATTATACAAAGATCAAGTTGACTGTTTTTGTTGTGAGATTTGGCAACTCTTACCACTTCATTAGACATAATGAGTGTAAAAATAATCTGAAAAGACCAGCACCACTGCTCTTTGTATGCCTCTTCTTCTTTCCACCTTCTTCTAATTCTGTCCTCTCTGTCACCTTTGCATTTGGACACAGCTCTGGTTTTGCTTTGGCATTCAGTTCCATATTATCTGTGTTGTATTAACCCTGGGTGAACCCTATGTTTTTCTAGTTTCGTATATAGAAACTGAAAGCTAATATCAGTTTTATTCAGCATAGTTGGCTAGCCTGCACTCTGCCTAACAGACACACTGCTACAGACTTCTAGCATGGCCGCTTTATTTTCAGAAGAGCAATAGTCCTTTAGTCTAGTAGTGTCAGAGTAGTATAATGGAAAACTTCAAGGGTGTTGACATTGCTAACCGAACCTTGAAACCTACCTGTCGATGCCTTGCACAGTCTCAATGCATTTCTCAGTAAACATGAAAATGTTCTATAATGCAGTGAGGTTAATAATATATTCCATTTTCTCCTCTCTGTCCTTATCTTTCTTTACTCCTAATATGTTGTTTCTTCACTTGTGCATTATCTTTCTTCTTTTCTTTCCCCTCCTATTTTTCTTCCTGTCACTTTGTCCTTCCCATCTTCTCCTGGTGCTGGTCTTCCTTTGCACTGAGGGCAGACATAAATGAGTGTGAGCGGCTCCCTCGGCCCTGTGCCCATGAGTGCATCAACACCCCTGGTAGTTTCAAGTGCACCTGCCCACCAGGACGCCACCTGCTGGGAGATGGCAAGTCCTGCGCTGGGCTGGAGCGTCTACCCACCTACGAAAGTTACTCGTATGGCTACCGCACGTCCCAGTCCTCTCCCGAACAGGCGCCCAACCAGCGGCTGTACCACAGCTTTGCTTCTCACAGCTACAACTCCTTCACCGCCACAAATAGGCGCTACATGAACCGTAACCGGAGAGAGGCTCACAAACGCCGCTCAAGGCAGAGTTTCCCTGCTTGTAAGGAAGGTTTTGAGTCCAGGGTTGGCCACTGCTTAGGTAACTATGTAGCACGGGCAATGCTGACATGACGGAGAAGAGTTAACAGAAAAACTTTAAAGACTTAATGCTGCTTGATGCTTTAAATTTGTTACAAACGGGGAAGAAAACTGTATTTTGTGTTTCTTTGTGTGGCACCAATAGATATCAATGAGTGTGAAGTGAGGGACGTCTGCCAGCATGAGTGTGTGAACACACCAGGGAGCCACCGGTGCCTCTGTCCTGCTGGTTACCGCCTGATGGCTAATGGAAAAACATGTCAAGGTGAAACTCTAATCTCTTGAACCTACGGGTTGCAGAGACCCAAAGATTCTGCAATTGATTTAAGTTTGTGAATGTTTTACTGAACAAACATTGGATTGAGAGATAACCTCTACACTCAGGGATGAACCATTTGCTATATCTACAGATACAGACGAGTGCCTGGAGCAGAACATCCAGTGTGGAGTAAATCGGATGTGCTTCAACACAAGAGGAAGCTACCAGTGCATCGACACACCCTGTCCTCCGAACTACCAGAGGGACCCAGCCACAGGGTAGACAGTCAGATTCAGATCTTGATTAATGCCCCAATGGGCAATCAATAAGTCAAATCTGTCTCACAGCAAATTCAAAGCTAATTTTATCAAGCATGTACGGTTTTCACCTTGTAGGTTCTGTTTGAAGAACTGCCCACCGAACGACCTGGAGTGCACACTGAGTCCATATGCGCTGGAGTACAAGCTGCTGTCTCTGCCTTTCGGCATCGCAGCCAACCAGGATCTCATCAGGTTGGTGGCCTACACACAGGACGGCGTGATGCACCCCAGAACCACCTTCCTGGTGGTGGACGAGGACGTCACCTTGCCCTTCGCCCTCCGAGACGAGAACATGAAGGGCGTTTTGTTCACCACGCGGCCGCTGCGAGAGCCGCACACGTACCGCATGAAGGTGCGAGCGCTCTCTTACAGCGAGGACGGCGCCATTGAGTACCAGACGACCTTCATCGTATACATCGCTGTCTCTGCCTACCCTTACTGAGAGCACTTTAAATGACGCGAGGTGAAGATGTGTGGTTGAAATGCGCCTTCAGCTTGCAGAACAACAGTGTGGTGAGAGTGATATGATGTGGTGTTTGGACTTTTGGCCACCGCAGTATGAAGACTGAAAGACTGATGTTAAGTGTGTGCGAGGCCAGTAAGCGGCTACAGTTCTGACGATGTATGGATGTAATGGGAATATGAAAGAGACTGGAGAAACAGGGATAAAACTGATCCTTTCCTCTAAGCTCTGCCAGTCTGTAAGGAATCAATTATTTTAGTTTTTTATATTTTGACTTCACATTTTCTCACATCATTCAAATGTATTTATAAGGTCAGTTTCCTTATAGTCAATGTGTAATTCCAACTACCTAATATTACTTTACTGGAAAGTGCTTGAACATCAACACAACTGAACTTCATTTACTAGTAGAGGTACGTGGTGCTCATGTTGGAAATCGGAGGTTTCCGGGTAGTTTTCATCTGTTTTGTTGTCATGGAAACTGCTCCATCAGCAACAGTATTTTTTTTTTCTTTCCAGGAAATACCGGGATGTATTTTATTTTAACCTGTACATAATGCTTTAGCTCAAATTGTGATGCAGTACCTCTCCTAATTTTATTAGTTTTTGTAATAAAAAATTTATAAACTACACTGAAAAAATAAAATACTCATGCCTGTAGTAGAAGTCAACCTAGCAACACAAACTAGATGCATTTAAAATTTTAAACATTGTCACGATGCACAAATATGGACATTTTGGACAAAAATCATTACATTCTTTCAACCCTTTCAATACATTGAAAAAAAACCAACCACACCTCTGCACTGCTTTTCTGCTTGTGTTAAACACCCCACAGTCCTGTGATGTGTCAAAATCAGCACCACATACCGAAACAAATTCCACAAATTCCTCTTTTTCTTCGAAGAAGTTTAAAAACAACTTAGTTTTTGTGAAAAACAAGATATAAAAACTCAAACATGATGACTTAGAAACAGACATTTTTTTTTTGCATTTGTAAACATTGACCAGATCATCTGCAAAAATGTGGACATTAACATTTGAGCAGAAATCTGTTAGTGTCAACAAGAAAGTCTGAAAATGTAACTGAAAAGCAAAATCTTTTCTGCTTAATGAATGACAATCTAAAAAATGTGACTGTTTAGACATTAAAGTGAGAATATTAATGGGCCAATCTGAATTGCCTTTAGGTGAGTGTGATCCACTTGCAACCCATAAAAATATGACAATTGTTTTTCTAAGCCACCAGAAACTGTGGGCTAATTATATAAACCAAAATAAAAACATCAAGGTGAAAATATGATCAGCAGTCATACTTTTTATTTTTGTTCCAAAAAAAGCACAAACATAAAAAAAAGAAACATTTGAGTAAGGCAGTTAGCACGTAGGTTTGCTCTGTTCCTTGTCTTCTCACCTCCAGGCTTGAAGAGCATCACAGAAGAACTACATGAAGCAGAAGAAATCATCTGGCTTCATGTTAAATCTTATTACTGCATTAGAAACTGTATCTAATGTTTGGATGCATCAGAATTGATTACAAAATGAAAACATAATCCATATTCAAATAGCAACCAGAGAGTAAAATACTGGACAAAATAAGTAAACTTCACTGTTTACTCACTGAGGATGCTTTTCTCAACATGTTGAACCACAACAGACCTTGCATCTGATAAACAAGCTCAGCCAATAACCACCTAAACAGGCTACTTAATTCAAATGAAAGAAAAACAAAGGATTTGGCAACAGACAATCTACCCTAGAAGGCAGACAAAACATCTTATAAAATGTACTTTAAATAGTCTTGCTGTTACTTTGTGGTTGTTGAAGAACCTACAGTCAACAGGATGTTTTAAAAAAACGTAAAGCAGGAAATTAACTTGAAACTTAATACAAAAAAAAAACTTATTTGTGGCAAAACAAAATGTGTAGAAAAGATGGGTATGAAATGTATGATTTTAAATTTTAAAATGGGATCAAGCAGACAATATAAACATCTCAACTAAATCCCCTCTTGATATACGGCAAAACTAAAATCTAATCTGCAATAGAAAAGCTTTAATATCGAACTGTGGAAAACTGTTTTTTATTTCAATTTAGTGGGGATATGAGGAAAATTACTGAGAAGAATGCAGATTTTGTTTTCTAAGGTTAAATTAATCTTAAAATATAAACACATATTCTCATTGCGCCGTAGTTTCCTGTAAACATTACCGTTTAGCCACATAATGACCTGTTCAGCAGCAGAGGGGAGCAAATGGATGTGAGAAAACTGCAAAGTGGGATTACCATGAGATGCATCATGGGTATTAATCCTCCCCCAGCAGCCCCTCAGGGTGAATGCCGACCCCCGTGGCTCATATTATCACCCGCCATCTGTAACTGTGCTTTTCTGCAGACGCCCACGGCTCGAGTGTTATTCTCAGAGGGTTTACTGCATTTATTCACTCAGACGTGAAGCCAAAACAACATAACGCAAAACAAATACGAACAGAAAAGGTTTGACTATTGATTATTGAAATTCCACCAGCGTTTCTGCTAAAATGCAGAGGTACCCCGCTTTTTATGAACACTGATCTCAGAGTTGGGCATCACTGGTGGAAAGGAATCAGCACATAGATGTAGAAGGAAGGTATTTTTAGCACCCTGTGAGGACTTTAGGCTGTGATGACTGAAAAAGAAGGAAAAAAAGAAAATCAGCTTTCAAACCCACTCTGACCCACATTTCAAGTCCTACATTTTTGCCTCAAGTAAATCAGCATCTCAGTGGGTAAAAAGAACAATAATCTGGTTTTCCTTTCAGCTTCAATGCCTTCTGGTAGAGGAACAGTGCAGCGTGTCAGTGATGTGACGTGCCTCTACGCTCTGCTGTTAGACCGTTTTCCTCGCCGTTAGTACCCTGACGATGCTGCCCACGCCTCCTGCAGCCAGAGCCTGAAAACACAACACAAATTAACATCATGGGATTAAATCTTGCACATTTTTCCACTTTGACAAATAGTAAAAAATCTTTATTGACAAGTCAGTTGATATGATTTTAAGGATGTGTTCCATTAAATTTGGATATTATCAAAAATAACATTTATGTTAGTAACTGAACATAAGAAGTGAAACATACTTTCATTTCAGACTATAAGCATATAATGATTTTGGCTTCCAGATGATTAAAACTAAATTTGGTTTAACTGAAACTGTGAATATTACATAAAACTATTTTAAAATGTGATGCCACACATAATAATGTGAAAGAATTGCGACTTAAATGGTCTTAAGTTTGATGACACAAGAAGCTTAATCTTTATCATCTTTCCAGACTTGAAAAACCGTTCCGAAGTCTTTTCAAGAATAGGTAGACATCCTATTTCTCTTAGGAAAACAATTTTTACAACAATTTATACCTACAAAATAGTTTGGGAATACTTACTTTTTCGTGCCACTGCAGCAGGACGGCGCTGCTGTTTTCTGAAGGTCTCTCAAAGCCTTTGTAGATGTATTTCATCAGCAGGTCTACCCCGTTCTTGTCAAGCGACTGCACCGCTTTCTCGATGTCGCTGCTCTTGAAGGCACTCAGGACCTTCAGCACTAGACCTTCAGCTCGATCCTGATCAGGAAAGAGGAACCTTTACAGAACACAGCTACCACAGACTCACTCAGATGCTATTACAATGCTAAAATGATAAATCCTGAGCAACACCAACTATAATCTGAAGCCGGAATTATGTATGCCATTAATAATTTTGCAAACAGTTCTCCTTACAACTCAAATTTTCTATTTTATGATTGCAGTAAAAAATAAAATAAATAATACATCTCATCTAATTAAAACTCAAGTGACCAATCTGCTGTCAGTGTATGAGTAAAATGCATTATGATTAAATGTGGTCACGTTACAAAGTTTATAAGAACATTATTTAAATAAATTAAAGATTAAAACAAGTCACCTTGACGTTCTGATTCTTTGTATTGATTGGTGGGTTCTTCAGGACTGCATGTAACGCCTCTATGAGATTCCCTGTGAACGGAAGGTTAAGGATGCACACACTCTGCAAGGACTTGCACTACCTTAAAATGATGGTTATAAACACGTACCCTAAATATATATTCGGCTCCTGTAGAATGAAATTATTTAGCTATATGGCTTCCATCTAGTGCTTCAACAATGCATAGACACAGAGAGGATGAAAACAAATGCATTCCACACTTTTAAGATTCTTCAGTTTTCATTTCATACTTTAGGGCTAGTTTGTGTCGGCTTATCACAAAATACATTAAAGTTTGTACTTGTAATGTGGCAAAGAAAAAAAATTACTTCAAGGGGAAATTTGCAAGAACCTGTGTAGGGAGCCTGGAGCAGCAATCCCTGGAATGTGACTGTCAGGCAAGTCTGGACAGTGATGGGTGTTTTGCTAGCAGGCCAATCATTCGGGCAGCAGCAGAAACTTATGGAAGTGCACGTAAAAAAAACTATCAGTAAACACAAAAAAATAAATTATTCGCTTAAATTCTTCATGTACCGTCAAAGTACCAATCCTGCATGCTTATAATGTAAAGGATATTGTCTGATGAGGGAGTCCACCTCTGCCTCGTCAGGACCCAGCTGATTTTCTCCGCCGTCCTCCTCGTCCACAAATTTGTTCTCGTCGTACTCATCCACGTCCACTCGCCTGAAACGGGCGGACACTGTGTTCTTCGACATCGCTAGTGTTATTTAAAGGTCCGACTCTGAATCTGACGAGGGAGACGGTTTTAAGCTTTAATTTAGCCTTTTTAAGTTTTTTTTTTTTTTTTTTTTTTGTCTTTGACGCGGCTGTCAGAGACAGGAAGACAGACGGCTTCCTGGCTGCTTCCTCTTCCTTTTTGCGACGTGTTTGTTTTGTTTACTCACTACCGCCATCTAACGGGCAAAGCAAGACGCTACAAGTAGAGAGGGTGTGAGCTCATACACGTGACGCTAGAGGGCGCACAAACCTAATAAATAGAGGGATAACTGAACAACCAATGTTGACGCCTCATCGATTATACAAGAAGACAATACTTTATTATTCTTAATATGTATGAAAGGCTTTAGTTTTTGTTTCAGGACGATAAACTAAAGCCTTGTGACTGACGACACGTTTCTTATATGTCTTATATATTCTTAGCTTAATATGGTTTTGTTATAATAATTTAGACTGTTTTCACTACAGTGCTAAACCAAAAGGAATGAGTTAATATTGTTTCAAACACTTAATTTCACTTTCAAATAAAGCATAAAAATAAAACCTCTTTAATAGTGAGATATACGTAAACTTTACTTTCTGTCCATTGGGTGGTTTACACACACAAAAAATGCTCAGACAAAAGTAGCAATTCTTTAAAAATAAGAGTAAAAATAAATTTTATAAGACTTTATTTTGTGCTGTGGTTACCATGAAGCATATCTTGTGCTAATTACTACCAGGTGCTTTTCAGTGACTTTTGCTTTTATATATAATCATGTTGTTTGCCATTGTGGTTTCTTCTATCTATCTATCTATCTATCTATCTATCTATCTATCTATCTATCTATCTATCTATCTATCTATCTATCTATCTATCTATCTATCTATAAAATGTCACGCCAGTTTTCCTTCTCTAGCTTTAATTTGACTTTGTAGCTTTGCATCTCAACTGCTTTGTACCAAACGCAGAAAACAATTTACTAATCTACCAATATATTTTCTTAAGCAACAAAAAGGAGCTTAATTTGGCACAGCATTGACTTTTTCGTGCCTTTGATTTATAATGCTAATAAACTGAGATCAGTGAGTGAGTCTCACTGATCTCATATATTTCTCCTGAGAGTAGCAGAGTGTTCAGTGTAATAGCATCCAGATGGAAGACTGGGCAGTGATGAAATTTGTTTATCTTTGCCTGTGTGTTTAGCCAGTGTGTCTTCTGACCACTACTGTTCAGTCAATGGAAGTTTTTAGCAACTGGATCAACCCGACTGTGCAGACCACCGCCAGAAACATGATCTCAGGGTTTTTCTGATTCACATCATCACATGCTTTTGCAGAAGTGATTCAAACTCTGCGTGCTCCCATAAGACTCTCACTCTCACAAGTAACTGTTACTTAAAATTAAATGGAGAAGAGAAAAACATCTGCTTCAAATATTATGGGATTTTGTGACGTTTCTAGGGAAAATAGCTTACTGGCACAAAATTGTTACCAAGAAAAAAAATCGCTTCTTCTGGGAAGCGAATAAAAGAGGGACACACCTTTTCTTTGATCGTATGTGTGCGAGTGTGTGTCTGTGTGTGTGTGCGTGCGTGTGTGTATATGTTGGAAGTGGAATTTTAATTCTCTATCGCTCCTGTCTAGACTGCTGGCCCTTTGAATCAGGAGGAGAAATGATAACACTGACTGATGCCCTTTCCAGTTAACACGCACAAGTACGAGAAGCGTTGCTCACTAGACTTTCTGGACAGGAGCAAAGTTGACAGTAAAGCTTGAACAGAGACACAGGACAGTTTCATTCTCCACATACTCACCAATCAATCATTCTTGCAGTCCTAACACTTGAGTGACAGTCACGCACAACCACCTTTCTTTCCTCCACTCCCTGCCGCAATCACACCAGCTCACACATAACCACTTTTCATGCATTGGTCGTGAGTGTCCTCACTGCGGTCTTTATGCAATGTCCCAACCTGCCTGTGGTGTGACTCAGAAGATCAGAAGGTGAGGATGCATTCTCACATGTGGCCTTCTGGTGAGCGTGCAAATCAAATAAAGGAATAATGATATCATTAAGATGAATTTTCCCCTGTAGCCCAATTATCTGTATTAAGACCACCCTGAACTGATTAGCAACCTGAAACCGTCTTTAGAAATCTGACAGTTTTTGATGCCAGAGCAGATCTGAGGGCAACAGGTGCTTCCGTGTCGGCACTCGGGCTCATGCTGAGATGATGCAATCAACCCTAATCACATAATTAGTACTCTTACACGAGGGGAATATTCCCTCTGAATAATGTCTTAATTGGGGAATGTAATGATTTCATGGGTGCTGCGTTGGAGCAGGCCCTGCTTTGGGTGAGACTGTGGGTGGCTCTCTTTATTCGGTAATCACAAGTGAATCTGCTGGTGTTTAAAATCAGACTGAAATTTAAGTGTCTCTTTACTGAAACCAGTTTTTTTTATATATATTTCTTCACTCATACTTCTTTGCTTTGTCATATTTAATGCAGAACATCCTGGAAGGTCCTAACAGAATTATCAATTGAATTTATGCCTCAACTTTGACTAGGTCAATATAACGCTAAATGCTTTGGTTTAGATTGCTGTTGTACTGCTGGAAGATCTCAAGTCTTTCACAATCTCATTTTTTTTAAACAATTGTCCATATTTAGTTCCGTCTGTCACCCAATTGACTCTGACCTGTTTCCTGTTCCCACAGCATGATCCTTTCAGTACCGTACCATGTTAGGAATTTTTTTCTCAAACATAGTTTTGCATGCAGGTAAAAAATAAAAAATGTAAATGTGAATGCCTTCTTGCCTCTCATTCAAAAAGAATTCATGATGATTAATGCGCTCGCTGCTCTGCCTGTTGGTTCTTTTCTGTCAGTTTTGCTCTCAGGGAAACTGGTTGCAATGAGTTTCATTAATGAATAGGTCGTGTAATAATACTGTGTTCTGTCTATCTTATAAATTTCAAATAAAATTTCCCAGTAAAATTTACATTATATCTAATTTTTGTAGAGATGTGACAAAATCCTTAAAAAAAATATTCAAGGTTTGGGAATACTTTTTCAAAGCACAGTAAAAAGAAATACTGTGAAAAAGATTTGTTTGTCTTTATCTTTTGCTTCCAGACTCAGAATCAGACTTTTTATGTTTGTTTTTTTTAAAAGATCCCTTTAATCAGTGTTTACCCAGATGGTACAGTCCTCCATGCTGCTAACCCAGGTTCAATCCCCAGGACATTTGCTACTTGTCCTCCCCTTCTCTCTGTCCTTTCTGTCAGAACACTATGGAATGATAGTAATGCCAAAAAAATCAAAGACAGTGGACAAGAGGTCATAGAAACCCATTTGTTTTGGGGCTTATCTTTACAAAGGGTGAGCATAATTGTGAAGGTCGCTGTGCGCTGATGACAATCTTGAAGGAAACAAATCCAGCTCTTTTCCTGGAACAGATAACTTCTTCACACTGGGGATTTTTCACAAGTGATGCATTTCTTTACTAAAAGGAAGCGGAAACATTTTGAAGGAAGCAGTCCCTAAAATTCCTAACAGTGACCAGGACTCTACGGACGTTCGATCTAGTTTATGTTTGACTTTTGAAGAGAGCTCAAGCACTTGTGTACGACCTTCAGAAAAAAGAGTGTAGAAGCTAATGAGACTGGTAAAAGATGTAAATAAAATCTGGGGGGAAAAAACAGTCATTCACTATAAAAAGTGGAGGATTTTTAAAACAAGGTTTAGCGATCTAAGCAAGTTCCCCCTAAAGTCAGACTGCAAGATGCTAACTCATACAAAAAAACAAAATTGTCATCAAAGGGTCCACAGCAAGCTTTTGCCATTGCTTATATGATTAGCTTTACAGTCATGTCTTCTCTGTGGCAAACTTTCATGGTAGTTTTCCACGGAAAATGCAGACAAAGACTTCTGGAAATAAATTGAATTATTTGGACAAGAAAACAGTGGAAATGTTTGGGATAAATACAGAATTCAAGGGGAAATAAGAGACTGAATTGTGATTAAGGAGGTGAAAGGGTCATGGTTTTTAGATTTGTATATGATACTCATGCAAACCCTGGACTGGACTCTGCAACATGACAGTGATTTAAAACATACCAGTTAAACCACTATGGATTACAACATGGAAATAACTTAATCTCATAGTGATCCTCTGGGACGACTTGAAGCGAGTTAAACATGCAAGAAACTCCTCAGTCATCTTAGAGCTGACACTGAAGAGCGGACAGGTTTTCTCAGACTGATGTGATTTGCTAACCCTAGCTGTTTTTCCACAGTTATAACACACATCTTTGTGGATGTATATTGTAACTGAGCCACTAAAAAAATAATAATTATGACTCTTTTCCTCAGAATTCTGACTTTTTTAGTGGTCATGATCTTCTTCCATATATTTTGTTTAAACAGGAAAACAATGTTAATTTTTGCTATTTATCTTTTTAGTGAATATGTGAATAAATAAAACATACTTTTTAGAGTACTGAATTTTGTAACTGAAGCTCTAACGTTGGGAACTTCTGTCTTTCTTCTGGCTTGTTATCCAAGCTACAAGGCAGGTTTTAAATAGGGCAGAGGTTTTGAAAGTGGATCCCCACAGGGGATATAAATTCATTGAAACAAATCAGGAACTCCTAATCCCATGACATGTAACTCAAATTCAGTACATGAACAAAGTTTAAGGCTCAGTCTAAATACCTGCTGGACCATGTGACTTTTCATGTTCATGAAAGGAAACAAAACAAAAGGAAACAACTTGATGGGAGTCAGCAGAGTTCAGCAGGATTCTCACGGATGTCGAATATGTTAATAGAAAACATCATGAGACGAAACGGTTCTCTCTCCTTTAACCTTTCTTTTATACAAACACAACAGTTAAGCATGGCATGCCTCGCCAGTTATAATACAGTTAAATGACCACAGGAGCATGACTGTTCATATCTCAAATCAAAGAACTGACCTTTCAGTTTGTTACATGTAAACGTTGTCAAAAAAAAAAAAAAATCTTACAATAAAATTTCCCCCCCCAAAAAAACACAAAGGAACACAACAACTTAGACCCTGCTT